CTGAGCCTGGGGGTGCTGCGCCTAGAGTTGCTGAGCCTGGGGTTTCTCCTGCTGCTGCGTCTCGCCGGGAGCCCCTCTCTCCACCGGAGCTGCGCGAGTGGTTCGCTCGCCGCTGGAGGCGTGCTGCTGAGTCTGGAGGTGCTGCTGGAGCTCGAGCTGGAGCTTCTTCGACCGTCGAGGGTGCGGGTGTTTCCGGTCCCGGAGCTGCTGGACCTACTGGTCCTCCTGGAGCTGGAGCTGCTGAGGGCGTTGGTGCTGAGCCTGCTGCTGTTGGACCTGCCGCTCGAGGTGTGGGTGGCGCTGGTGCTGTCGCTGAGGGTGCTGGTGCTGTCCCTGCTGAGTCTGGAGCTGCCGCGCGGCCTCGGCCGTACTTCGTTCCGCTCCTGCAGCAGGTTCTTGGTCTTTCTCCTCCTGTAGAGGGTCCACCGCCTGTCCAGTCGCAGTCCCTACTGGAGCCTTCCTCTCCGCTGCCTGCTCCCTCTCCTTACACTGGTCCTACTGGAGGTCTTGCTGAGCGTCGTGAGCCTGCGTCTTGTCCCGCGTCGCCTGTTCGTGCTGCTCGCGCTAGTGGTCGCAGTTCGCGTCAGCGTCCTCCTCCTGTCCCTGGCACGCACCGGATGTCTCTGCGTCCGTCCACTGCTCCTCTGCGTGCCCCTTTGCCTTCTCCTCCTGAGTCCTCTCTTCCTGCGCTTGCCGACCCTGAGTCGGACTCTCTTCGCGCTGCCAGTCCTACTGTCACGCGTCTGCTTGCTACTGTCGTCACTGACCCCTCGTTTGAGTCCACTGCTGCGTCTGCTCTGGTCGCTGAGCTCGTTGACTTTGCTGCTCGCTGTCGTCTCGACTACGCTGCTAGTCTTGTTGCTGAGTCTGTGTCTGGCTGTCCTCCGTCCGTCGGGGGTGAGTGTGCTCTTGGCACGGACGTCCTAGAGGACAGGCAGGAGGAGTTACAGTGTCTAGCGGCTGCTTCACCTCATCTCGCGTCTGTACTGCTTGCCCCTGAGGGAGACCCGGATGCACTAGACATCCCGACTCCGCGTTCTTACGCGGAGGCCGTAGAGGGTCCCTACTCCTCTCAGTGGCAGGCAGCTATGGATGCAGAGATGGCTTCCTGGAAGTCCACAGGCACCTACGTTGACGCAGTTCCCCCTCCTGGGGCGAACATCGTCAGTGGCATGTGGATCTTCAGGGTGAAGCGACCGCCGGGCTCTCCACCTGTCTTCAAGGCACGGTACGTTGCTCGTGGCTTCAGTCAGCGGCAGGGAGTTGACTACTTTCAGACCTTCTCTCCCACCCCGAAGATGACCACTCTTCGGGTGCTGCTGCACATAGCCGCTCAGCGCGACTACGAGCTTCACTCTCTCGACTTCAGCACTGCGTTCCTGCAGGGTAGCCTGCACGAGGAGATCTGGCTGCGCCGTCCGCCTGGCTTCACTGGGACTTTCCCTCCTGGCACCCAGTGGAGCCTCCGACGGCCAGTCTACGGTCTCCGCCAGGCACCGCGTGAGTGGCACGACACACTGAGGACTACGCTTGCGGCTCTTGGGTTTGCTCCTTCTACTGCTGACCCGTCGCTGTTTCTTCGCACCGACGCTTCCCTGCCGCCGTTCTACATCCTCGTGTACGTCGACGACTTGGTCTTTGCCATAGCGGACACTGCTAGACTCGCCTACGTGAAGTCCGAGCTGCTGAAGAGACACACGTGCACAGACCTGGGTGAACTGCGCAGCTACCTTGGCTTGCAGATCACTCGTGACAGAGCACGCCGCACCATCACCTTGACTCAGTCACACATGGTGCAGCAGGTCCTTCAGCGCTTCGGCTTCACGTACTCCTCGCCTCAGGCCACTCCTCTGCCTACTCGCCACTCACTCTCAGCTCTGCCTTCGGATGAGTCCGTAGAGTCGAGTGGTCCGTATGCAGAGCTTGTTGGCTGCCTCATGTACCTGATGACCTGCACACGACCCGACCTCGCATACCCTCTGAGCATCCTTGCACGCTATGTTGCTCCTGGGAGACACCGACCAGAGCACATGGCTGCAGCGAAGAGGGTATTGCGCTACCTGTGCAGTACGTCAGGCATGGGGCTAGTGCTTGGAGGGCGCAGTCCAGTGGTCCTTACAGGCCACGCGGACGCTTCTTGGGCTGACGACCAGGCTACGCAGCGGTCGTCACAGGGTTACACCTTCAGCCTTGGTTCCGGCTTTGTCTCGTGGCGGTCTACTCGCTCGTCTTCGGTTCTCGGCTCCAGTTGTGAGGCTGAGATCTACGCCGGGGCCATGGCTGCACAGGAGCTTCGCTGGCTCACCTACCTGCTGACTGACCTTGGAGAGCCGCCTCGTTCTCCTCCAGTGCTGTACGTAGACAACAAGGCCATACTGGCCTTGTGTCGAGAGCAGCGCTTGGAGCACAGAACGAAGCACATTGCTCTCCGCTACTTCCTTGCTCGTGAGCTGCAGCAGCGTGGTCAGTTGCGACTTGCGTACGTGGCCTCTGAGGCCAACACTGCTGATGTGTTCACCAAGGCACTGGCGCCTTGTGACCATCAGCGCTGTTGTACCCAGCTGGGTCTTGTGCCTGTCTTGCCTCACTTGCTCTCTTCTTGACTTTACTTGTACTGTGACATATATATACCTGCTCTTGCTTGTCTTGCTTTATATATATGTCTGTACTCTTGCATGTGAACTGGCCTTTGGCCTTGCTCTTGTGCTCGGACTGTGTGGTGACTTTGTGATCCACCCCGAGCTTGCTTTGCTTTGCTTGACTGGTCTTGTGACCTCTTGTTCTCCCCCACTTTGCCTATGGGGGTGTGTCAGAACATATAGCTTACCTGTTTGTGTAGGCTACAGTAGGGTATCCCATAAGGGGTACAACACAATTAGGTTTCCCATTTGTACCAATTTCTGACTTAGTCATTTCATTCCTGTTTACCTATCTTCACATAGCTAGCTATGCTATATTATGCCTAGGCCCCGTTGTTTGCTCAGTAGTTGTAATCACTTCCGCGATATTGCATTCTGCGCCCTTTTCTTTCATACAACTCATAACACCTGGTATTAGAGCTACTTTCCTAGGTTACCCTCCACTTTCCGGGGTAGTTTAGTACAGGGGTGCAATAGGTTTGGTGGGCTGCAAAGCGGTCGGCTGAGAGATAGACACGATTATCTCGCTCCGACTAATAGCGTTTGCGCCTTCATCAAAACCATAAAAATCGTTGTTAATCCCCTGCCCGTTGGACGAAGTCTGCGACACATGGACCAGGCGGAGTTCAACGAGCTCATGCAACAGTTCCGGGCGATGCAGGCCAAAATGCAGACTATGTCTGGCGAGTTGGAACGCCTGAGGGCGGAAAACGCCGACCTACGCCAGACGCGAGGTGAAGCGCGTCAGGAGTCGTCCGCCGTGGATGAAGCAAGTAGCAGTTTCGCGCCTAACGACGAGGTCCTCAGCGAGCTACAGAACTCGCTGGACGCTGAAGACGAGTGGACGGCACGGATGCACACAAGGGACGCAGGAACAATAGTCACAGCCGAGGCAACAGTCGCAGACGACGCCACGACAGGCAACAGCGACAACCCCGGTGATGGCTTCAATGGCGCCCTCGATGCATGCAGCAGCAACAGTCTCGACAACTGTTAAAATAAAACTGATGAACCCGCCCCCGCTCAACCCTAGCGACAAAACCGTCACTGTGTCGGCTTGGTTGTTTGGTGTAGAGGTATTTTTCAATGCTGCGCAAATTGCTGACGATGCCACCCGCATTAATTTCGCAGTATCATTAGTGCGAGGACCGGCGTTGGAGTGGTGGAAGCGGACTCTTCAACCAGAGGGGGCTCCGGCAGGGATATCACGTGCGAACGACGGGACCTGGGCAGCTGTCACGCAACAGGCAACTTCAATCTTCGAAGTGGCCACGATACGCACATGGACGGAGCGCGTCAGATCCGTTACAAGGTGATTTGGTTGGAATTTGGTCGACAATTTGGTCAACTTCAAAAGCGACCAATATCTGGGCATATTTACAGGGCCGAAAAATCTGACACATTTGGTGGCCGAGTTGCAGGCCAGTTTGAAAATGTGTCAGATTTCAGTTCGCCAGGGTGGCCGGATTGTGCGACGGGGTCGCAGCTGCAGTACTTGTGTGACAAGTTGCGTCGCACGAGCTGGCGACGGCGCATAGTGATTGTAGCATTGTCAGGTTGACAAATCGACCGACTTTTGAGTCGACTACATGTCAGAACCAGGCCTGTCGCTTACTCTAAACCCAACCCTTAAGAAGTTGAGCTGGCCCAAAACCAGCCCGGAAGGATCCGGGTAGGGGCTGATTCTGGCCCGTAAGAATCAGGGCTGGCCAGTAAGAATCAGGGCTGACTTCATGCCTAGTGTATTTGCAGCCAGCAACATACCCGCTTACAAGAACTATGAAGTTTCAACTAAATGTGTTTGAGGCGGATTCGCGGATAAGGGGTCAAGAAACTCCAAGGGGAAGCTAGTTCGGGAAAGGAGGGGGGGGGGGGCATACACGGAAATCCGGGCAAGGCCCAAAACCAGTCCGTTAGGGTCCGGCCAAGGGCAAAACCAGTCCGTTTTCCTTACGGGCTTCCTCGCAAACTATCCCTTAAAAATCGAAGGTGCGTCAAACCCAGCCCTGAATTCTCAGGACAAACGGGCAAATGCCCGTGAATCGACAGGCCTGGTCAGAACTTTGTCGAATGCTGAACCGGCCATCATTTTTTTTACAAATGGACGGATTTGGCGAACTTAGCACAGTTATTGCAAGTGTCGCTCATTCCGGCTGGCCAGATTTTTCCGACACAGATCTGACGTACCCTAATTTCCTTGGGTTGGGTTGATCCGCGAAGTGCACATCTCAGGTATACAGAGAGAATGTAGCTCCTAAACACTAACCCAAATACCATGCTGTTGAAAGGAAATTAAACTTTATTGTTGAACTAGGCGCAAAAACACAAGACAATTGTACCGTATCATACACCATATGGTTTCTATTTCTTGCCAAAGAGCCCGAACACACTGGTGAGTGCCTTGATGGCATTCTCGTTGATGATTGGCTCGTCATACCTGTCCATGAGCTCATCAAACTCGTCATCGTCTCTTAGGAACGACAGGTCAGGGTCTTGACGGATTTTCTGCAATTATCGTGGAGACGAAATGTAGGAAAAGGTAGGAAATTGAGAGCATGCTCAGAACGAATAGCAGTGCTAAAGCACTTATGGTTCCACGCCCAGGCAACCACATTGAGCATGCTGTGTTATCCCAGCTCGCCCTACACCCACCAAGTCTTGCTTTCTCTCAGCGACATGCTCTCACGCTCTTTTCTTGCCACTATCTCATCTCCGCATCTCACCTTGTAGTCATCGAAGCCCGCCTCCATCGCCGCCTCTAGAGCCTGCAGGCCGCCCTCAACCTGCAGTCAGGGGAGAGGAATGGATGACAAAAAAGGCGAAAGGATGAGCCAGGAAGAGCGGGCGAGTAGGGATCGAAGTGGTCGGGTGCTTAGTGTGATGTCAGAGGTTCACTGTGAGTCACTGATGCCAGCCATCGCTCTGTGTCAGTTTACTGTACCAGTGATCCAGGTAATGGATAGCGCAGTTCATTAGTCTGAAGAGCATCTTTAGCAACCTGCGAAGTGCTCGCTGCAATGCACCCTCCTTTGCGGGAATTCAACTCCAGGCGGGCGTCAACCCAGACCGATTCGTACCACGCGCAACGACTTCGCGCAGGCAAAGGTTCTTCAATTGAAACCTTAGCTACGAAAGCATAGCACAAACTTTTCACTTTAAGTAGTCGCGGCTGCATCGGCATAACATCTTTGTGGCTCGTTTCCATATCTAACTGCGGCGGCGTGGTACTACCAGTTTCAGCATCAACGCAGCACAGAAACAATTAAATAACGCCCAAGGATCCTCACCCAAGCTCGGAGCAAAGAAATATCTTCCATCGATCCTAACCCAAGGAACCTAACCCAAGAATCCTCACCTTCTTAAGCTTGGAGCAGCAGCACGCGATGTTGTAGAACGCCACCGCCTCCTCCCGGTACGACGGCACTAGCCCAATGATCGTCTGAAACTTCAGCATCGCCTCCTCGTACTTGCCCGCCCTGCCACGTGGCGCAGCCAAACACAGGATTTCGAGATACGATTGAGCCCGGCCAATTTTCTCACCCCAAGTTACTAGGTTGGTGCAGAAGCAAGTAGTTCATGCCAGAATATCACTGCTCAGGATGGAATCAGAAACATAAGGAGGATCATGCATTGCCGCTTAAGGCTTACTTGTAGAGCTGAAGACCATTGTCGAGAGCAGCAACGCGCTCTTCGGCCTGCTCTTGCCGGAGCGCCGCATTCTCCATCTGCTTCTCGCGGATAGCATCGCCGTAGTTGCCGGCCGCTCGCTCTTCCAGGTACTTGTCCTTCTTCCACGGACCAATCTTTTGCCCTGCGGTTACAGAACAACAAAATATTGGTTCAGGTAAGAAGAAGCATAATTCAGTGACGATATACAGAGAATTATTGTTCGTGGAAACCACGCTTCAGTTATAACGGCAGCAAAGAATCACCAGACAATTGATTTGAACGATGTGCCAACGTTGCATTGTCGTGCCACCGAGCGGCGAGCATATCCACGAAACCGATCCAATCACTGAACCTTAACGTAACAAAAAACAGAAAACTCACCGTCCATTTTCTCGAGGCGGACGAGGAGAGTGCCGACGCGCTGCCTGACGGTGTACATAACGCGGCTGTACTCCGCAGCGGGCCACATCTCGCTGCCGAACACGGCGCTCGTCGCCAGCACCTTATCGCCCTCCTGGATCTGCTTGCTCAGAATCCCCGATTGCCCTGGGTACAGCGCGTCGATGTAGATCGCGCCGTCCTCACCGCGGTAGAATTTGAGGCCGTACGGCCGCTCCAGCTCCACCTCGATGATCTCCCCTGCGCGGACCTGCACGGCGCCGGATTTGGCGGCGGGAGATGCGGCGGCGCGTGTGGTGGCTTTCAGGGAGGGGAGGCGAGCGCCCTGGAAGAAAGGGGTGGCTGAGCTGGAAGCGGCTGATGACGTGGACACGGAGGAGGGGAGGGTGCGGGGCGCGCAGGACATGGTAGTCTGCTGTGCCGCTGCTGACGTGGCAGCCGTGCGCGACGCCGATGCGTATGAGGCGACGGAAGCAGCGGCATGGGCAGTGAGGGACGCCATGGCGAGACAATGAAAGCGCAGACGGGCTCTTACGGCGGGCTCGTTCAGACGTAGAAATCACAGAGATAAGCCGTAAGAGCAATGCTCAGTTATAAGAATCGTTACCGAAGAACGAGTTGGCCAGACAGCATTTACGTTAGAGAGATCGGTAATGCCAAGGCCTGGTTTTTTTGTTTCTCGATTTCTCTTGACGCTTGGCTTGGGAAATTGGTGATGTGCAGAGAGCAGAATTGAAGGGGGGTGACGGAATGCACAATAGGAAAATGATTGGTGGATTCCGTGAAGTGCTGAGTTGTCAGGATCCGACGAATCGATGTTCAAGTTTCGAGGAAGGGGGATGCTCTACTGTTTGGCGGGAATGCTGACTAGGACATTGGAGTTCTCTGATGCCCGTCCATCATGGCACAGAGGGGCCTTACAGATTGTTTGATCCTGGCTGTGAACAGAGACACGTGGAGAGAGTTAAACTGGTGTGAACCGCTGGTGCTTGGAGGCTCCACGTTGGTGAAATGCTGGTTCATCAGGTAGTCCACACCGATTCGAACGACGAAAAGTTTTACGAACTGCGAAGGTAACGCAAGCTGAGCCGAATTGCGAGGTAACGCAAGCTGAGCCCAGAACTGAGAGGTAACGTGCATTTAGTTAGATGCAACGTGAATTGTGATCACCAACGACGTGTGTGGTTACCTGCCTTCCGGTCGTTAACCTAGCGAAGTATCAAGGTACAGTCAAGCCTCGCCAGGCCTCAAACACAGGCCACCAGTTTCGTTCATTTCGTCAACAACCAAAACAGACCAATTCCCGAACACCTCCTGTTCGGTGTCACAAACAGAGGTCTGCCCCATTTCTAGTGCCAAGCACCCTAGCCTGCATCCGTTATGTCTTCCGTTTGCGATCTGGGACTGCATTGATTTGATGAACCGCGGAAAAGGTGTGCGTTAAATTTGAAACAATTTACTGGATTTTATTAAATAAAATTAATTACAAATAAGGAAGTATGAAGGAACTAGGGATGAACAAGCTCACTGCTCATCTGACCCATCCTCGTAGTACCCACCCTCTTCCAACCATTCAGGTGCAGTCTCGCTCCAAGACCTGGAAGGAACCCCGGTCGTTTGGAAGATGATTTTTTCCAGGCTGGAGAAGAAACCAATAGAATCGAGAAGGGGGTTGCATGCTCCACTCACGATGCAATAATTCGCGTTGTAAGGAGGACGGTGGTGCGCGCCATGCATTTTTCTGGAAACTAAGAGGCCGGCATCTTGGAGAATGGGGACGAATGGAGGGAGGAGGACGCGGGGCGTGTGGGACCAAGCGTGGAAAAGCTGGCTGAACATAACGGAAGCGAGGAAGACACTAAAGAATATATCTTGCTCGGCCGAATGCGGGAGCACGAAAATGAATGGCAGCGTGGAGAAAAGAATCGGCTTCGCTAGCGCGTGAAGATTGTTTGCAAATTGTCGCTTGGTGATCGTCCAAGGTCGCTTATGGTGGCCCTGAAACGCGTCGATTTGAGGACCGAAAATCGGCGTCGAACTGTCCCCGTAGTTATCCACTCCAAAATGATACACGCCCGTTCCAAAATCAGCAAGTAAATACGACCCAGCAGCCGCCGCAACTGCGCCCAGCACGGCTGTAACACTCGCATCGTCCACAGTGGTAACCACGCCGCGAGCGAACAATGCGCCGAGGGCCACGCAGGCAGATGCCACCCACGCTCTGTGCTCATTGATTGAGACGAGGCTCGTATCCGTCAGGCCCATCGTTTCCATCTTCTGCACCACGGAGTTAATCGCCGCCGCTGTTCCCGCTGCAGGCGGAGCGCTAGCGGATGCCTCAAGCGCCGTGAGCGCGTTCGAGACAACGCGCGGGGATGCGCTTGCGCGGACATCGCGTGGGGGGAGGTTTGCGCGGACGCGGAGAGATGCGGGGCACGGCGCGGGGGAGAGCCTAGTGGTGGGTGTCGACTTCGAGCACAGGCGAAGGCCGTGGTGTAGAGAAATTGCGGGCGCCATGATCGCGGTGGAGTCCGAATCCACCCGGGACTGTGCTAAGACTTCGAGAGGAACTCGACAAATTGGGCTTGCAGCAGTAGAGTTTGAGACTTATGAATAACCAGCAGTGGTGACTGACGGACTGAGAAAAATGGCGGGGGTCGCGGTTGAGATGTGTATGGCAGCTAAAAGCAAACTTTATCCAATTTGTTTCGTGAATGGCTAGCTGCTCCTGGAAACGATGTGGCGGTGGTGAATTCTTGGAGTCCCCCAAGCGATAGCAGCAGCTGTGGCCCTTATTCCTGCCCCTCCTCGTCACATTGCATCTGTCCAGTCCAGTACTCTGTCCCCATGGATTGCTGAGTTGTTGGTGAGTCGTGACACCTGCCTCCTGGCTCGTCCCCTATGGACGGAAATGCACCACGCCGCGCCGCGCATGGCCCGCATATTCGCTGGAAATCCTGCCGCACATTTGTGCTGGGGGAGGGACGAGGGGAAAATGTTTCTGCCGATGTGTCAAATCCTAGGGCGTCGATCTAAGGTTTGGGAACCTGCGCCGGCTTCTGCGGTGGCAGCTGGAAGCTCAGGATCACACGTGTCGGCATACCGTGCCACAAGCTCGGCCAATAGTACTGCGTCGCCCCACCACCACAATTCGAAAGCCCACTGGTACTTCAGACCAAGCTCGGTACAGAACTCGGTATAGCGTGACGCAGCATCAAAGACGAAATGTATAACAACCACAGTATACAAGCAAGCCTCTCAGAGCATATTTAGTGGTAACTCCAATTATTTGTTGCATACATAACATCTGCAACTAGTATTGTCGGCCTTCAGAAGCCAAGAATGCCTGCATAAAATAAAACGGAAAATGGCGTCAACAAACAAGGTGCTGGGTGTGATGACAAAAGTGCAAGCATACAAATTAATCAAGAAAATAGCATGTTACCTGTTGAGCTTGTCGTGAACACTCAACAAACTTGTTCACCACGCTAGAACAAGAGAGCGGATCCTGAAAACACAACCACAGATACATGATCAACTCAAACAAACATGGATCAATGCACAACCTTCACGTAATAAACAACCATGATGCCGATTTTCATGCAAATATAGAACATCTTTTGACACCATACCTTTATGTATTTAGTGTAGCATCTTAGGCATTCTTCCCTCTCAGCTTGACAAGGCACTTCCCGAGACGGTGGTCTGCTTTGGAAAGTCGGGAAGTGGGATCGTTAAAAATACATAACAGCTGAAATGCGATGGAAAGCTGGAACCTGTGTGCATGCATACTGTCATTTGTGAGCATTAGATTAGAGCCTCAAATATTTCTGACCAATATCTTAGAGAGATGATGAAATTGCTTTCACCTGAACTGCTGTGCCTGCAGTGCTTGCGCCATGTTGGTGGCACGGGCACCCTCCTCCTGCCGCTCACGAGCAATGTCGGCCCGTAGAGACTTCTGGTGAAGTGGAGATGGTGAGAAAGGAGGAAGAGAAGAAAGTTCTCTGACATGAGGGAGAAAGGCCGGGAACAACGAACTGTCACAAAAAGGCATGTGAGGAGACGGCAGAAAATGACTGAGCACCCAGATCAGATCACAGCACTTCAGTAGTGTGGTTCCCAAATCCCCAACACCACCCACACCACCCACATCACCCACACCACCCACATCACCCACACCACCCACACCACCCACACCACCCACATCACCCACACCACCCACACCACCCACACCACCCACATCACCCACACCACCCACACCACCCACACCACCCACACCACCCACACCACCCACACCACCCACACCACCCACATAAACCACACCGCTTACCACTTGCTCCAGAGTCTTCTCCAAGTCCGCCAGCTCCTCCTTTCTCCGCTGCACTCTGTACGCCGCCTCTGGCTCTGCAGCAAACCCCACTCCAGCGATAGCAGCACCACCAGAACCCGAAGCAACAGCCGAATCAGCCACAGAAGGGGCAGTTACAGCAGAGCCGAAGAACAGCGGATTCAGGCTGGGAGGGAGTGGCGGAGGAGCATGCAGCAGTGCAGACGAAACGCTGCCTCCATCTGCGCCTGCCCCTGCTCCCCCCGCTGATCCTGCTCGATTTCTGGAATGCTCCCTGCGCCCCCCTCTCCCCTTCCCCTTCTTTCCCTCTCGCTTCCGCTCGTTCTCGCCTGCTTCCTCTGCCAGCATCTTCCGCACGAACCGGTCCGTCACCTGAGGAGGGGGGTGAGGGCGGGTGAGGAGGAACGGGAAGTGGTTGATGAATAACCTACCTAAGGCACAAAGCTGACTGGTTCATCTGGGGCGTGCATTGGGGGGTGTGCTTTCCTCTGCAAGCATCTTCCGCACGAACCGGTCCGTCACCTGAGGTGGGGCGGGGGCGGGTGAGGAGGAACGGGCAGTGGTTGAGAGAAGACACAGAAGCGCTGATTGGTTGAAGCATTGGGGCCCGTGGTTCCCTCTGCCAGCATCTTCCGCACAAACCGGTCCGTCACCTGATGCATGGCCGTGGGTGGGGCGAGGAAGGGCGGGTAGGAAATGGGCAGTGGTTGGAAAAAGGGCGAAAAGGGCGGTGAAAGATTACAGGTGAAGTGTTGAGGCGTGGGGTTCCTCCTTCATCAGCCGAGCATTTTTCGTAACAAACAAGTCCGTTGCCCTGATCCATGGCAGCGCGTGGGGCGCGAGTAAAACGGGCGACGCGAGGAGAGCAGGTGGGAAACCGGCAGTGGTTGCGAAGAAATCAGTGAAGACATTCAGGGGGGGTATTGAGGTGTCGCACCGATCCGCTACTTCGCAGTGGGTGGGGCGAAGACAGAGGGTAGGTCAAACGCGATAGTTCGCAACAAGCAACGCCAAACGGGAAATGTCCAACGGACAGAGACGAGAAAGAACGGAGAATCGCACCTGAAGCGCCGGCTGCGGTTTATCGGATCCCATGGCTGCGTCGCGTTTCGCAAAACAACGGCGGCGACGGCGAGTGAGATGAGAAATGTGGGAGAAGGAACGGAACGTCAATTACGGCTGCCTGATGCGAACGGGATGGAACAGCACCCTTGAATTTGCACCTAAACTTGGCCCAAACAATGAGGTGAAAAGTTTCTGCTTTAGAAAAATTGTGTAGAGTTGCGTGCTAGCATCTACAACGAGTCTTCTTTTAGACAATGAATTCGTGCTGAAATTGGCTCTGGTTTGGCTGTTGCGTGTCTCCGAAACCATAACCCGAAGCATCTGCGATTGGCCCCCAAGCTGGTTTCCGAGCCTAGCATTTAGATGGAAATGTGCTCTGACCTTCGGTCAATTTCACACTTGGCCGACGCGTTTTGGCACGGCCGAATTTTCAGCCGAACGTACTGTATGGTTGGGAAGACGTCCAATTGGAGGACGCGGTGCGCAGAACCAGACCAGCCAATCGAACCTAGTATGACGTCACGGGGATGGCTAGCTCCCTAAGATTCGGTGGCTGTTGCGTGAGCACATTCAGAAAAATGTGCATTCCATACACCACGGTTTTGCATGGTGAGCTGCATATCAAAATGGTGGAGAAGGATAACCATTCACCGCGCAAAAAGCTTCTGAACCGCACGGAACGATCAATGGATGAACACTCTGGTCTGGGGGAAACTCAGAATCGCGGATACATAGGTGGAACATGGCTGATGGCTGATAAGTTTCAACATCTCAGTGGGCAAGTAGCTTGTAGCTATCGGGCACAGGTTTCACAACAACGCGATTTTTTTTTTTCTAGGCGGGATACAACGGGTATCGAAGGGGCGTTACTCTGCTTTTGCTACCCGGGAGCTTTTGAGACGAAGAAGCGTGTCTCTAACGATAGATCTGGTTAGTGGTAGCCGAGTTATTACTTTTCTGGGTCGTTGTCGAGCAGAGCCATTATGGGGCGACGTGGGATGCGATCGCAGAACCTGCTCCTCACATGACACTTAATCTTTGCGAATTCGCCTTTTCCTCGTTACTGCCTTCGTCAGCATACGAGCCGTTGTCGTTAGTTTCATGGGAGCCGTGGGTCGTTTCACCAGAAACCTTAGACTAAATAGTTTCCTGGCTGATCAATAGTAGTAGTAGTTTCCAGTATCTTTGACTAAATATGCGCAGGAATTAAGCTGATAACCTATTGCTGGATAACCCTTCTAGAGATCGATCAAGATGGTTTTCCCAATTCTCAAGCTTGGCGCATTGGCGGTCAAAACGATGAGCAAGCCTCTAGCCAATGCGATCAAGCGGAGAGCCAAGAGCCATCCCAAATTCCGGGGAACCATTATCAACTTCGCTCAGGTTGGTTATTGTTCCAGTTTGGCGCATTCCTACCTAGACTTGAAGCTGATTTCCAGGTTTTGCTTATGGTTGAAACGGTGGCTCATTGATCCCTGACAACTTCCGTAGCAATGTTTTCCCGTGTTAATCGGGTTCCGCACTTGCTCCCACCTTCTGTTTCACTAATTGCATCTCCCGATCTCATCGTTTCATTGTGCAGAGCTATCATAAGATCAACGTAGGGATGCAGCGCAGACTGTACGGTTACAGCACGAACGTGGACATCAAACCGCTGATCGAGGAGAAGGCGGTGGAGACTGCAGCAGACCTCGTGGGCGAGCTTGTTGTTTTCGGGGTGAGTTACTCGCTTGTGGTTGTTGTTGAAGTCAGCTGGTGTTGCTGATGACCTTCTTATGAAAGTTTGTGGTTGTTGGGGATGTTTGGTGTTTGGTGGAGTTCTCAAGTACTGGGCGATGGTGCCTTTGTTCTTGCTTGTGTGCTTTGTAAGTAGTTTGTATCGTGAGCTGGGAATTGTTGAGCTTTGTGAGGCTGAAGTGTACATATACGATTGACGGGTTGTGAAATGACTGAACTGGTTATGTTGTGCTTGTGTGATGAAAGCGTGCTCCTTGTGTAAAGGATAAAATGTGATAGGGGTGTTCCTTTCTCACAGTGGCGTTTATTGTGGGACTCTGTCATGCAGTGGATTGGATTAGCTGGTTCATGTGTTTGGAATGCAATCTCATCTGTTTTTTTTTTGCAGGTGGCTGGCGGCGTTGTTGTTGCAGAGTACACAAGAAGCTCAATAGCTGATTCAAGGAAAGAGGAGAAGAGACGACAGGAGAGGGAGGTGAGTTTTGAAATTCAGTGTCTTTGTCTTAATATGCTTGCATTTTACATGATCGCTTCAGGAAGCTTATTCGATTTCCTGTGTTTCTTCTAATTGTCGTTCGCTGCACCCAGGCTCTTCGTCAGAAAGACCTTGAGCTCGAGCGTGAACTGCAAATGCTTAAGGCACGCTTGGATGCATTGGAGAACGCAGCATCTGACAGCTGGCTTCCGCGCATTCTTCGAGGCAGCAATCTTGGGTTGGGTGGGGGCAACCGCAGCACAAGCAGTCCTGCCCAGAAAGATAGTGAATCAGGGGCAAGTGAAGTGGAGGGAACAGAGGTTCATGAGGAGGATGGGTCAGAGGAGACAGAAGAAAAAGAAAGCCACAGCAAGGATGGTTCTAGAAAGAAGTAATAACTGTTAATGTTTATCTTATAACGATGCAGTGTTTATATGTATGCGATTGGCGAAGCATAGTGAAGCGATAAGATTGATAGTGATGTGCTCTATTGCTTCCCATTTTTTGCACCCAATTACTGGTATGATTTTGATTATTCTCAGTAGTATACCTATCGCGTGTTATATGCATTCGGCCCAATTGTGTTGGAAAAGCGTTGACCAAACCCAAAGCAGCCTACCATCGAAACTGCGTCGCGGACAGCGGTAAGGCCAGTGAGTGTGTACTGTACAGTAAACGTGCTGCCAAATTGCACTGTTTCGCATGTTGTCGTTTGACAGCCTGGTTGTTGGTGCCATGCTGAGCGTCGTTTTCAAAGCTGCCGAGGCATGATACACCTGAGGGACAGCCAATCCGAGCAAGGCAACGGTGTGTACCAAGTGGTGGTGGCTGGTTCCCCTTTCAACAGACTGAACCAAGATGTCGACTGAGCCAATGGGAGGCTTTGAAAGGTCTGCAACTATTGGCTTGATCATGTTTTTGTGGTCCGTACTGTATGGCGTTTGGTCTGGTAGGCCAGACCGGAAGCTCTGGTTTGGCACGGCTGGGTACACCCCTCGAACAATAAAGCATGTCTGAGCGAAACCAAGGTTGACGAAATGCTTCGCAGAACAGCTGAACCATTCTGCGACGACTTTTCCTGGTTCCACTCCAACCTCCCTCCCCCAACCTAGACCAACGAACCTCCTTGGATGGGTGGTTCGCATGGTAACTATCATATCTGTCGTTGAGAACCCTTGTATCTACGTAAAGAACCGCTCCGTACCGTTGGAAGATGTGGTTGCTACCATGTATGTTTGTCGGGACTGTCTTTTTTTATGAGGGACATCTGCGGAGGGCTGGAGCCAGGAGGATCATGTCATGGGCCATGGCCGTGCTGTGGTTGTTGGTCATAGAAGAGATGACTGATGCAACTCTGAAGAGACGGAGTGTCGGAAGGGCAATCCCAATGCTCGTGGCGAATATCTGTGGTGTGGTGTAGTGTGTCTGGTTCAAGAATCGAGAGCCTTGGAGGTTTTTGCCGTTGTGCAGCTCTGCGCAAAAATAGTGGTCGAGTGAGCTTCACCTAATCATGGAGAGTTTCAGCTCTGTAGCTTAGAAGAAGGACGTGGGCTATAGCCAGTCCAAAACGACCATCCGCCATGTTTGTCTGCATTTTGCGAAGGATGTGTCAGTTGGTGATTTGTATTGTGATCTGAAAATGCAGCTATTATAGACGCTGAGCCATTCTTATCCTGAAGACGGTCCATGACAGTCCCTGCATTTTCATTCCAGCACTTACTTCCTTCAAATCAAAAGCTCTAGAATCTTAGAGCTCGTTTTTTCCCCCTTTCTCGTCGGCTTTATTACCTATTTATAATTTGAATATTTTTACCAATGGCGATCTACAGTGACAAGCCTCTTTCCATACGCATGGGCGACGCGGCCATAGACGCGTTCACCGGTGCGCAGCCAGTCTCTAAAGTCCTCCGATACTACCCGGAGCACGAAATAGTCGCCATCAGCAACGCACGCGACGCACGAGACGAGTCACCTCCTCCACTTCCCCCTGACCATCTACTCGTTCCGGGCCGCTCGTACCTACTCCTGCCGAAGATTAAACCGAAACCTACCGGCGGAGTTGGAACAGCGGGATTGCGGTTTCTGAAAAGTGCGTCCGTGGCCGTAGGCGAGACGGCGCGCGACGCGAGAGCCGGCGGAGAAGGCGGTGCGAGTTACAGCAGCATGCAGCGCGCTTTACGGAAAGCGGGATCGCAGGCTATGGAACAGTCCGACGTGGATCCGGCGATATGCTCCCCGACAGAGGTGAGAGAGAGCAACTTAAAACCTTATTTATAGAATACACGGAGCAACTAAAGCAGGGTCGCATGCTAACGGTGGAATGTGGATTCAACCTCGTTCTTACAAAAGCTGTGGTAGGTTAACGAAACGTCCGTTCGTCTCATTGTGTTCGGAGCACGGAGAAAATGGACATTGCGTTTATGGGTAGTGCGAGAGAAAACACTGGGGCGAGTTATACCCGGATGAATCTATAGTACAGGCGACAAGAACGTAAGAACGTGCCTCGTGTGTCGAACAAGTGCTCCCGCTGTAACGCGTGATGAGTGGAAAGCGTAGGCACACAACGTTTTGAGATTTCTCAAACTCTTCTGAAAGGCCTCAAAAGTGGAAGGGAAGAGAAGAAAGGGGGAGGGGGAGGAGGGGAGGTCACGCAAAGTTACGGAGGCGAAACCGTCACATTGATGCACGGCATTCCAGCTTGCACGAATGAAAGACGATACTGGAACCGCAGGCACGCAATAACGATTGCAATGGGATTGATGCGGGATGGTTGCGAGACGGAGGGCTAGACGGAAGAGAAACTGCTGAAACGTCTTAAGTAAGGCGGAATCACCAGTTTATCAAGTCCGCCTTTAAACCAGCTGACTCTCCTTACGCACTTCCGCTCGCTTTGTGCCTAATCGCCTTCTCCCGTTCCCCGTTACCCCTTCCGCCTCCCCCATTCTTGTCCCTTCCTTCCCCCTTGTTCTTTTTTCGTCTCCCTTTCCCCCTCCCCCTCTCCCCAGTCCACTCCCCAGGATCCGCCTGCCCCTCGTGCCTTCAAGCCCGCGGCTCCCCTGTCCCTTATGAGAATTCTGAAAAGTTCCCCCTTTTCCCTCATTTCATCTCCCCTTTTCCCTCGTTTCATCTCCCCTTTTCCCTCGTTTCATCTCCCCTTTTCCCTCGTTTCATCTCCCCTTTCTCCTCCCCCTCTTCCCAGTCTACTCCCCAGGATCCGCCTGCCGCTCGCGCCTTCAAGCCCGCGGCTCTCCTCTCCGGTCGTCCTCCCACCCCTCCCACCCACCGCTCCTCCTATAGCTTCTCCTGCTCCCCCTCCCAACCTCACACCTCCACCTCGCCTCCCTCCCACCTCTCCACCTCGTCCTCCCCGCCTCCCCCTCACCACGTCACCACCGCTGCGGGAAAAGGCCTGAGAGCAGCAGAAGCAGCAGGCGGCTCAGGTGAAAACCCAGGCGCGCGGATGGACCCGTGGGATCAGAGCTCAGGTGGGGGGGGGCTCGGGCCATGGAGTGAGCTTGCCGCGATTGATTCTGATAGCTCTGACTCGAGCCAAAATGAGAGCCACAATGAGAGCCACAATGAGAGGCAGAATGAGAGGCAGAATGAGAGGCAGAAGCAGAGTGAGATGCAGAGCCGGCCATGGGGTCAGATCTCGCCTACCGGGCAGACTGACGTGTTTGTGGTGCGCCCCGCCTCGCCGTCAGAGGATCTAGGAACCAGCGAGGAATCCAACGGTCAGGATGCTGCAGAGGCCCCGCAGAGATCGCTGCAGAAATTGCAGCAGCAGCAGAGTCAGAATCAGAGCCAAAACGAGAGGGAGAAACAGGATCAGGATCAGGATCAGCAGCAGCAGCAGCAGCAGCAGGCGCACCCCCATCGTGTGCTGGTCCCCGTGATCTTCCGCTCCCGCCGCGGCTCCGCCCTCCGCTTCCCCCGCTCCGCCTCCGCATCCGAAGCCATGCCCGCCGCCACATCCGATTCCGCCACTGATTCCCCCTCCCCCGCCTCCCTCTCTCCATTCCTCTCCCCCGCCCATCCCTCCCCCCACGCCACATCCCCCCCTTCCCACGGCTCCCCTTCTCCCATCAAAGCCAAATTATCTTCTAAAAACGCATCAAAGCCGTCCGCTAAACCCGACTCCGCCAAGCCATCCGCGCAGCCGTCCGCGCAGCCCTCCGCCAAGGCGTCCGCGGGGTCCCCCCGCGAGCGCGCGCGCGCCAGCAGCTCCCTGCACCGCAAGCTGTCGCGCACGAGCAGCGGAGGAGGCGGGGCGGACGTAGGGGATGGGGGGGGTAGTGCTGTGGGAGTGGGGGGTACTACTGGGGGAGGCGGCACTGGGACAGGCGGTTCTGGTGAAAGCGGTGGTGTGAGGAGACGAGACAAATCAACGGCTGCTGGCGCGTCCTCCTCTTCCTCATCCTCCTCGCTGCCTCCTGTTCCCTCCCCCGCCTCCTCGCCTCTCTCTCGCTCCCTCCATTCCACCAACGCCCCTAGAACGAATCGTCCTTCCTCCCGCGAGGGTAGATCTACCTCTGATCCCAGCAACCTGCTAAGCGCGTCTGAAGCTGCTGCCGCCGCCGCCGCTGCTGCTGGCAGTGCTGCTACGGGTGCTACTGCTACCGGTGCTTATAGCACCAGCAGCAGCACGCACCGACCAAACAGCCGCCCGTCGTCCAGAGAGGGTAGATCTACCTCGGACCCTGACAACCTGCTGAGCGCGGCTGAAGCCGCTGCTGCCGCGGCTGCTTGCTCCATCAGCAGCAGCAGCACTGCCTGTAGCAGCGGCGCGTTCTGTGGCACTGGCAGCAGCACCAGCACCACTGGCACCGCCAGCACTATCAGCAGCACCAGCAGCAGTAGCAGCAGCAGAGGCGGTAGGGTGCGGAGGGGCGTGCATGCGAGCAGTGTGAGTTATGGAGGGGTGGGGCTAGATGGGTCGGCTGGGGATGGGGGCAGCCCGGACCTTTGCTTCGCGAACAGCACTGGTGGTTACCGTAACAGCGGCAGTATTCAACCCAATAGTGGTGGTAACCGCAACAGCGGCAGTGGGGTTGCTGATGCCCCCATGACCTCACACAAGGCGGAGAAGGTGGAGAAGGCAGATAAGACAGACAAGTCAGACAGACCAAAGAGCTCTTCAGGAAAGTCAGGGGATTTGGACAAGTCAACGAAGTCAGACAAGTCAACCAAGGCAGATAGGCCACAGGAATCAGGCGAGTCAGCCAGAGGTGATAAATCCCGGGCGCTTCTGCGAGCTGCCTCGCAGGGGAGGGAGATTGACCGAGCGAGACTGGGCTGTAGCAGCCCTGAAGCGAAGCTGGGGGGGAGGAGCCATACGGAAGGCAGGGAGGAGACGAAGGAGAGGATGATGAGAGAGAGGAAGAAGGGAAGGGGGGGGAGTATAGGCGGGGGTGCTGATTTGGGGGGATTCGGCCCTGAAGCGAAGCTGGGGAGAAGGAGCCATACAGAAGGGAGGGAGGGGATGGGTGAGAGGGTGAAGGGGAGGATGAGAGAGAGGAGGGGGAGTGTGAGTGATGTTGACGGTTTGGGTGGATTTGGCGGTGAGGCGAGCCTTGGGGGGAGGAGTCAAACGGAGGGGAGGGATGAGAATTTTGAGAGGGCGAAGGAGAGGAGGAGGGAGAAAGAGAGAGAGAGGGAGAAAGGAGGCGTGCAGGGTGTTGGGTCACCCGGACATCCCAAGCAGAAGCACCGACCTCCGATGAGTTCTGCCCATACCCACGAGCATGTCCCTCCACATGAGCATGAACTTCAAACTCATCAGCAGCAGCAGTCGGGACATCAGCAGGCTGAGGTCAAGAGTGGTGATCAAGAACAGGAGGAGGGGCAGGATGCGCCTCCCTCAAATGCGCCTTCCTCAGATGCACCCTGCAAGGACTGGTCCCGCAGCATCAGCCTGGCCCATACTCTTAGCAACCCCCATAGCAACCCAGCTCCTTCCCATGCCTCTGCTTCTCACTCCGCTGAGGCTGCTGCTTCTGCTGCTGATGCTGCTGATGGTGATGACGATGGTGATGGTGCCGATTCTGGCTTCACCTGTTTCGATCCTTCCTTTGACGGCATGCTTGCTTCTCATGCTGCCGATTCTTCCAGCTTCGGGGATCGGTCGGACCTTGCTTCCGAACCTCTCTCCAGCTTCCGGCTCGGCCCTGCTGACCCAGACCTTGCGAGCCCCAGGTTTGGTCCGGTGAAGAAAAAGGAGCGTTTCTCCGGAGCTGGGCAGCAGGTTCGGCAGGATGACTCGGAGTTGGGTAGCTCAGGTTCGGAAGCCACAAGTCCGGATACAGGCAGCGGGAGTGATCGTAGCAGAGGCAGGAGCAGAAGCAGACGGAACAGAAGTAGGAGTGATAGTAGAAGCAGGAGCAGAAGCAGGGGCAGTGATGATAATGAGGGCAGAGGAATGCACCAGGAGGATGAAAGTGACAGCAGCAGGCGTTCTGCTAAGGAACGGAGGAACAGTGAGGGGCCAAGCAGCAGAGAAAGGGCACCTAACCGTACCAGAGAAACGGGGAAAGCAGGGACTGCAGACAGTGCGAGAGTGCGGAGAAAGAGCATGGAAGGCAGCGCAGCGCTAGCTAAGTCCCAGGAGGAGCAGGAGCCGGGTGTAAGTGCTGCAGCTGATGTCACTCTGGCGCTTTGGTGCTTAAGAGAGTCTCTTAGCATGCAGCGGCAGCAGGAGGAAGAGGAGAAACTCGTGCGGGGAAGCATGGGCGAAGGTCCTGGTAGAGAGGGAGTTAGAGCGGTTGGAGGGGGTGCAGGGGGTGACGCTGGGGTGCAGGGCAAGGGAGGGGAGGCGGATCGCAACAGGAGCCCTCTGAGGAGGTTTCTCGGCGCCTTGTCTCTTGATATATCCGCTGCCGACGTGCCTGTTGTTGCTGCTGCCCCTGCCGCATTTGGCGGCCTTTATGCTAGTGGATTCCCTGCTGCTAGCGCTTTACCCACTAGCATTGTTTCAAAAGCAGAGGGTCGCAAGCAGGCAATTCTGGGAGAGGGTCAGGAGCAGGTGAAGGGACAGGGAATGTTTCAGGAGGAGCAGCAACACAAGCATCAGCACCCGCAGCAGCAGCAGCAGCAGCAGCCGCAGGCGCAGCAGGGGGGGCAGCTACAGCAGCAGAAGGAGGAGCAGCAGCAGGAAGGAGCAGGTCGAAACCGCAGCCCTATGCGACGCCTCCTGCGTGCTCTCTCCATAGAAGCTTCCACGGAAGCTGCAGCGGTGGTTGCGGCTCTTCAGTCCTCCACTGCTGCCGCTGTGCCTCTCGCCTCCTCCGCCCCCTCTGCTGCCCGCGTGTCCCACCGCTACCCACGATCACAATCCCTCACCACCAAACTTACGAGCAGCATTAGCATTAGCGGCAACAGTATTGGTGGTGGCGGCAGTGGCAGTGGTGGGGATAGCAGTGGCAGTGCTGCTGCTGCTGGTCGCTCTGCTGGTGGTGGTGGTGATGGTGGTAGTGGTAACAGTGGTAGTGGCAGCAGCAGCAAGGCACGAAGTGGTGGTGGTGGGGGTGGAAGTAGCAGCAGCAGTCACAGCCACAGTCGCAGCAGCAGTGCCATTCTCAGCCTAGGAACCAGCAGCAGCAGCAAGCACAAGAGCAGCAAAGAGGAGAACGATGCTGAGCTAAAAGCAGCACTCGAGGCCTTCAGAAAGCGGGTGGAGATGCTAAGTGACACGTGCCACTTAACTTACGCTGCTAATGTTGGTGCGCAAGGGTCGGGAGGAGGGGGTGGAGGGAAGAAGGGAGGCACGTGGAAGCCAAGGCTTCCAGACGTAAAGGAGGTGGAGCAGCCGAACAAGACCCTAGCGGGTTCATTGTCGTTCCATGCGGACAGGCGTAGGGCTTTGTCTGATCAGCTTTCTTTGTGGATCAAGTGAAACACTGGTACTGCTTTGTAAGGCATGAAAAAAGGGCCATATCATATTGCTAGGGAACAATCTGGTGAGCCAGGTGTGTGGACTTCTGTCCTACTGTCCTACTACTGTCCTATGTATCATGCGGTTCTTTGATTTGAGACTTGAGATGTATGGATATGTAGAAAGTTGGTTAATGTTTTGGGAAATACTTCTATGAACTCTGTGTCGAATCTTGATGTTCCATCGATACTTTACCATAAGCTACAAATTTTCCGAATGCGACCTCCGACCCGGATGTCAGAAACGCGTATGGCGTGGCGACGCCAAGATTCACAGCCCTAGCGAGTGGGTGCGGCAGTAATATGATGCCACGTTGTGCGTTCGTGTTTCGCATCGTCTCGCCACTCTCGTCGCTCAGTCTCGAAAAATGTTAGGGCATTCTGCGGGTTCGGAACGGGTACACGAAGTTCGTCTGAGTTACTACAGATTCCTTCATTGTTGGGAATCTCCACAACAGACCAACTTCACCCTCCAAGCAGCAATCCAAGTTCACATATGACGTGGCTAGAATCTAGAATCCGTCTAGACTACAAAGCAGTCTCGCCATTGATTTTTCATACCGCGGAGAATTTTCTAGACCGGGCACGTCGCGCCGCTGGTGAAGGCTGCGAATCACTCCAGGCTGTACATTGGTGCTATTGATTGTGATTCTGCTGTTGCTGCTCCTCTAATACTTTCCTCGTGGTGCAACGCCGTAACTTCTACCCGCTCTCGAATCCCCGTTATGGAGCGTATCGTTATCAGCTCATGCGCGCTACCGTGCAGTGCAGCTTCTGCTGCTGCATCGGCTCCTATTCTTGCATCTACTGCCGGAGACGGCGCTGCTTCGCGGAACGTTCGTCCAGTATCTGCCGTCCATCGGCACCAATCCCATCTGCCACGTGTGCAGACCAATCGCACCCAAGGTCGCCACGTGGGTGAACTCCGCGTCCCCATTGGACAGTAAGTGTTCGTCTGTGCTGTTAATGGTCACAGATTCACCAGCTATTCGTTATCTTGCTCCGTTTCGCTAGCTGCCTTTGGATTCACACGCACAAATCAGGCTTTTGGATAGTATTTTATATATTATGTCATAAGCTGACTTTTGAGTCGACTCAAAAGTCTTTTATATATTATGTCATAACCCATATTAGGTAGAGCCAGAACACAAGCGGTTTGTCTCCCGCTTCACTCATTCTCCCTTCTTCCCAATCCACATCGTTCCCCTCCGTTTGTTCGTATCAAAAGGCTTGCCGCAGCGCGGTTCATACCGTCGTCTCTACACCCCAGCTCCACCCATCGCGTTCATTGTACCGCGTCTGCTGGTAACGCGGACGGAACCGGGTCGAATGATGACAAAGGGGAGGGAGAGGGGGGAGAGGAGGCGGGGAAGGAGAGGGGGGGAAATGGAGAACCTGAAAAGACAGATGAGCGCAAGGACAAAGCCGCAGATGTTACTAGCGGATACGTCACTAGCGAGGATGAAAGCGCGGACATTGTGAGCAGCCTGGGGGATTGGCGGGAGTTCCGCGCGCGCCTGATCCGCGGGGAGGTTGGGGTGGCGGGGGAAGAGCCTGGCGCATCTGGAGCAACGGACGGTGCAGATGCGCTGACAGGTAGCACATCGACGGCTGGAGATCTGCCAGGCTTGGAAGATGTAGCAGCAGCAGGCACAGACGCAGCAGCAGCAGCACCACCAGCAGAATTAGCAGCAGGAGCAGCACCAGGAGGAGGAGCAGGGGTCGAGGAAGCAGGGGAGAGAAGAAGCTATGTAACCTCCCCACTCCCTTCCTCCACCTCTCCTTCCTCCTCCCCCAAGTCATGGGCTCACCCCATAGCAGTGCCCGAGACGGGGTGTGTGCTGCTGGCGCACCCTAGGGCGTTCGGCGTGTCTCAGCAGTACTTCAACCGCGCTGTCATCTTCCTTCTCATGCACGGGTGAGGGCGAGAGAGTGAGGGAGTGAGTGAATAGGGATTGGTTGAAGGTGGGAGTGGGGGAGTGAGGGAGGAAGGGAGCGAGGGAGTAATCAAGGGTTAGTGTGTGTCAAGGGCAAGGAACGAGTCACCCCTTCTGTTGTTCACGTGCTTCCATTGCATATCATACAGTTCTGGCACCCCACCCCTCCCCCTCCTCGCTCTTCCCGCCCATTATCCCTTCCTTCCTCTCTCCTTCCTCCCTCCCATACCATGCCATACTGCAGACCACAAGGGACTGCAGGCGTGATACTGAACAGGTATGTCCCACCCTCCCACAAACCCACCCTGTCACTCCCACCATTCCACCCTTTCACCATCCCTCCATTCCACTATCCCTCCACTCGCCGTCCCACTGTCTTTCCGTATGTATTTTCTCTCCATCCATTTCCATCTGCTCTCTCCCCCTCACCCCTCCCCCTTCTCCCCATCCACTCTTCCCCCCGTGCACTCACTCTTTCCGCTTGTCCCTCATTCCACCCGCTTCTCTGTCGCCCTCCTTTCTCTCACGCGCCCCTCCACCCTCTCTCTGCGACCCAAACCTCCCAGACCCTCGCAGTACACACTCGGGCAGCTTGCAGGCTTCGAGGAGCTCCTGCCGGAATTTTCAGCCTGCCCGTTATATCTGGGCGGCGATGTCGGCTCTACGTCCACGCACTGCCTGCACGGGGTGGCGGAGCTGGTGGGGGGGGAGGGGGGCGCGCGGGAGGTGTGTCCGGGGGTGTATGTGGGGGGGTACTCGCGGATCAAGGAGCATGTGGCGAGCGGGCAGAGCAACAGCATGGACTATCGATGGTTCGCCAGATATGCTGGTGAGTGGTGCTGCTTGGGTGGATGGGGGCATGTGCAGGTATGGGGGCATGCATGCACGGGGGCATGTGGGGAGCGGGAAGAGCAACAGCATGGACTACCGATGGTTCGCCAGATATGCTGGTGAATGGTGGTGTGGGTGCACGGGTTGATGGGGGCACATGGGGTATGGGGGGTTGTGCGCACGGGAGCATGTGGGGAGCGGGCGGAGCAACAGCATGGAGTATCGATGGTTCGCCAGATATGCCGGTGAGTGGGGGGGTGCATATATGCAGAGATGCCAGTGAGAGAAGGAGAATGGGCGCAGGGGGGTATGGGCGGATGGGGTAGTGGGAGCATGGAAGCATGGGGGCATCAGTGGATGGGGTAATGGGAGCATGGGGGTAGGGGGTGTGGGTGCATGCATGCATGCACGCCAGACCTTACCTTTCTCCCTCCTCTAATCTGACTGTCTTGACTACCACCGACCCTGTGCCACCAACTCCCCTCCCCTTTTCCCTTCCCAATTTCCTTTCCCTCCCCCAGGGTGGGCCCCAGGGCAGTTGGAGCGGGAGGCGGCAGCAGGGGTGTGGTACCTGGGAGCATGCTCACCAGATTCCATCCTGCAGCATCTCAAAGTCCCTTTCTTTCTTGCATTTCCTTTCCCTCTTGCACACCCTTTTATCCCCCAGGGTGGGCCCCAGGGCAGTTGGAGCGGGAGGTGGCAGCAGGGGTGTGGTACCTGGGAGCATGCTCGCCCGACCTCATTCTCAGGCATTCCCTGAGAGAAACTGTCACTGTAGAGAGCGCAGGTGACGGTGGCAATAGCGAGATTGACAGTATAGAGGCTGCAGAGAGGGGTGGTCAGAGCAGTGAGACAGGTGGTGTGGGGGGGAGGAGAGAGGGAGCAGTGGGTGTGAGTGGGAACACAGGGCTGTGGAGGGAGGTGATGGAGTTGATGGGGGGAGAGTATGCTGTCCTGTGTAAACAGGCAGACGGGGAGCTGTAGAGAAGGTTTGTACCATGCGCAGGGTTTTCTTAGAAAGCTTTCGAGGTACCGTAGTGACACAGTGCATGCTGTTACACCATGAGATGAGCAAATTTTGGCAACATTCTGACCTCAGGTTTTGCCTGCTCGTCCTCCTACAAGAAAATCAACTCAGAAGGTGACCTAAGTGGGGTTCAATGAGGCATAACACGATCTAAAGAGGTCAATTCAAAATTTAGGGAGGTTGAGATGAGAAAATCGACCAACAAAAGCCAAATCCTTGCAGACAACTCATACCGTACATGCATTTATTGGCTTTAGGGTGCATTCCTGTGGGGACACTTGTGTCTCAATCCCCGTTTCCCCGAGTTGCGCCTGTTAATTTAGGACGTGGGCCCAATCGGGTATGATCGGCTCTGATCTGATCAGTTCAGATTGCTTGTGATCACTTTGCTCGAGCCGCCCGATCAGCAATGTTTTTTCGTAGAAGTTTTGAAAGCTCGGCAAACGCAGAAGAATTACGCGGAAATTCTCGTCCAACTCTCACGATATTGGCGACTGAACATCACCTGGCAAACGAATTTGTTTCCCTGTAATATCTGTTGGGAAAATAAACGCATGACTTAGTGCGTTTCTGTAGTATCGAACCTCACCCGATACTGAAGCACAACAAAAGGAGTACGAAGTCGAAAAGGCGCGTACCACATCAAACCGCAACTAGAGGTTGCGAGCTGTAACCGCCTGGAGGTTACGTAACAGCAAGCGACGCTTCAGTGAACAGTAACCACCTCGATAGTCAAAGCGCTACGCGTCTCGATAAACATAACCGTTCCTTGTAATCTATCTTTTCTATATATTCCTGTATGCCCTTTACTTTAATCAATTACTTGTTCTCACATACCAGCACAAGTACATTCACTCAAGACTTCCGCTGTGCTACTCTAGCACTTACTAGCCTATTCTCTGCAAAGATCCTAAGGCTGAAATTCTCAGCCCAACCTGGTATGAGAGCAGTCAGAGAACAAAGGCTCTCGTCATTAAGCCTCTTTCAGGCTACCAATCTGCAAACGACCAAGAAGTTCAACCTTCACTCAAGAAAGGCAAGACATGGCAAGTGGCAAAGAAAGAAGATCATCTACGGGATCTACTCTACCCCCGGTCTCCGAGTTGCAGACCGAAGGAGGAACAACGCCCGGATTAACACCGGAAGCGACGGAACGCTCCACTCAAGCACCAGTGGCGCCGCCAATCTTCAACCCAAGCCTAATGGAGGAGTTCTTCAACTTCATGTCGCAGCAGCAGTCCTCACAACCTGCAAACAGCAACAGCGTAAACAACGGAGCGGCACCAATGAGTATTGACAACTCATCGTTCGGACGACACAATCAACAAACACCAAATTCGGTCTCACCTGGTTCCTTCACGTTCATGCCGCCCCGTCATCCAGCGACTCCTCTTCCCGCCATCAAACGAGACCCCGAAGAAGTCCTGCAAGTACAAGCACAGTTCAACAACATCCTACGATTGCACACATCCACACCATTCAACGGGAAGGACTTCTACTCTTGGAGCTTCGAATTTGAACTCCTGATGGAAGGCGCGAATCTTCTTGGCTTCTTCAACGGTACCTGGCCATATCCACACAACGGCGAAGACAAGGACAAAGAAAATTATACGTATCACTCCCTCATGGCTTACACCGTTCTTCTCCGAAACCTGTCGCCGAATGAACAACAAAGCATCCGCGCCTACCGGAACTACGCAAACTCCGCGGAACTCGCTTATCAACATCTGCGAAGTATTCATCAAGCATCCGACAGCGTTACGCAAAGCCGACTCATGGCACAACTAACAACAGTTCAAATGCAACCTGGAGAAAAGGCCATGCCTTACATCAGTCGCTGTCAAGGACTACGCGACAGACTCATTCGCTGCGGAGGAAACTTATCTGAAGAAGCTTTCGTAACCGTCGTTCTTGCCGGCCTTGGACCTCAGTGGCGCACCACCCGCTCACTTCTTCGCGCTCACGGTCGACTCTCCGAAATGCATCTCTGCGCCGAACTTCACGCCGAGCAGCAGGAAATGGACCTGTTCGAAGAACGCAACAACAAAAGGCATCATCAACCAATCGTTCTTTACACCAATCGACGACAGCCACGCTACCAAAATCGAGGACACGTACCTCCCTATTGTCATCTTTGTCGGACTTCAGGACACACACGCTTCAACTGCCCTCAGCAACAACGACAACCAGCACCATTCTCTCGTCCTCTGCGACCAGTGCCTCCCCACATCGCGTCAACTCAACAGCGACCCGCTACCGCCTCAACGACTACTTCAACACGACCGTCAACCTCCACTTCGGGACCTGCACAGACACCAAGAATCGTCGCCATGGCACGAACAACAGAGTCAAACATCGACTCGTGCATTACCGGCTCTCCACCAACTTACAGTCCTGATGAGCAACCATCACCACCACCATCGTCCCTTAACGTGAATCCAACGTACGCCGCCATCGCGAACCGTGCACCCACCGGACCAGACACATGGTTCCTCGACAGTTGTTGCGGTCATCACATGTGCTCTTCATCACGATTTCTTCAGCGCGAACGACGTCTTCCGCGAGACGTCATCATCACCATCGCCAACAACGAAAACCTGCGCACCAACAAACAAGGAGTCGTGGAGCTTCAGTCAAACGAAACAAACGTTATTCTTCAATTAAACAAAGTACTCGTTGTCGACAACCTCGGCTTTAACTTACTGAGCGTCAGCCAACTCATGTCGAAAGGCGTTCACCTGGAGTGCGACTCCGACGCCCTGGAAATCCGTCTTTACCACGGAAAAGGGGGGGTCTTCATCGGCCGTGCAATCCAACAAGATGACGTGTTCGTCCTCGACTTCGTCCCCGACAAAGGCACCGCAGACAGCGACGGTATAGTCGCTCTCGCACCTTGGACGCATCCGCCAGACCTCGACCCGAACTTCAGTCCTGAAGGCTTCTGGTACTCTCGTACCATTCCCGAAGCTGAACGCACCAACGCGCTTGCCGTCCTGCAAACACAAGCCACAACACCTGAGTCAGCACCCGTCATCGAAACAACAACTGCACCCGTCACAACACCAACAACCTCCGAACCTGCAATTGAAGAACCAACCGTCGTCGCGGAACAACCTACCGAAACTCTACAGCTCGGTCCCTCCGTCGCACCTCCACCTCTCATCATCGACACGCCACCGACAGCCGCCCAACAGTTAACGCCAGCACCACGCGCCGTCCATCGAAGTGCAGCAACTCACGCCGCCTTCTTCGCTAACGCAGACTTCTATCGACGCTCCGTAGGTCACAGCGCCTCCGAAGACATATGGCATCAACGTCTTGGACATCCTGGAAACACAACACTCTACAATACAATACGAGCCGGAGTGTTAGATAAGAACGCCCTACTTCTTCCCAACGGACGAGAACTCGAACGACCACGCGGCACCTGCTTCATCTGCCCGGAAGCAGATCTGCCTCACCAACCGTTCCCGTCACACCACAATCCGAGCGCCCCCGCTTATCAACCACTCGAGAAAGTCTACAGCGACATACTATACATACCTCGAACGGAAGGACGTGAAGATCTGAACTACGTCATCACCTTCATCGACGCCGCAACGCGATATGTCTGGCACGTCAACTTACCGTCACGAGACATGGCTCTAGAAGCCTTCACAGCCTGGCTACCTGTTGCTGAAAGAGAGTCAGGAGCGAAACTGAAGAGTTTTCAGTCAGATGGCGCAAAGGAGTACCAGTCAAACAGCTTCACACAGTTCTTGGCAGAAAGAGGCATCAAACGCCTCATCTCTCTTCCTTACGCTCACCAACAGCAGGGTGTGGCAGAAAGGATGAACAGGACCCTGCAGACAACCATGCGAAAGCTGCTACGTGGAACTCGACTGCCCAACTCAGAATGGCCAGCAGCGATGGACCACGCTGTCCTCCTGCACAACTTGCTGTCCTCGTCATCACTGCCCAACAACGCATCTCCGCACCTGTTGTGGACTGGGAAGCTGGGCAACACAAAAATGTTACGAGTTTTTGGGTGTATGGTACAGTACCGCCCACACACTGCACGCGCAGGGAGATTCTCGCAACGTGCACAGTGGGGTCTACACCTCGGGCTGGCAAAATCTTACGAAGCATGGCGAATCTTCGACGTCCACACAAAGGAAACAGTAGCGGCACGTGACGTTATCTTCTACGAGCGACTCACCCTCAACCATTACCTGGACAACATCGCACGCCACGTCGACCCCACCGGCGGATTTTCTGGTTCCCGAGCCTTTGCTTCACCCTCTGATGCTGCTGACTGGGAAGAAGAGAACGTCGATGGCGCTTCCGAAGCTGCTGGACCCCTTCCTTACTGCTCCGTCCCAATCCCCATGGACGAGGAAAACCCTCGCGACAGCAACAATGCCGACGCCTACTACCATTTCGCCGACAATGGTTACGTAACACCCCAACCCGTCAACACCGACATCTCTGAGAGATACGGCCCCGGATTCGCACCTGATCCTGAAGCGGGAGACGAAGCAGTCTATCCCGAGGACCCTTTGCTGAATCGTCACACCCCCAGCGGACTCCAAGTCCTGGGACTCGTCGCTGCAGTGCACGGGACTTCGTCGCCACCTGAAGAGCCTCGCTCTGTCAAGCAGGCTCTGGGGGGGGAACACAAAGAAAAATGGCGCGAAGCCATGGAAAAGGAGTTAAAAGCGCTCTCAGACCGCAACACCTGGAAGATCGTCCCTGCATCACTCGCACAAGACAAACCCATTCTCTCCGGAAAATGGGTATTCCGGATCAAAACCAACTCCGACGGAACCATCGAACGGTTTAAAGCTCGATGGGTCGTCCGCGGATTCGACCAAGAGTATGGTCGCGATTTCACTGAAACCTTCGCACCAGTCAGTCGACATACTTCCCTGCGCATACTTCTCGCCATCGCCGCCTCACGCCGCCGCCCACTCCGACA